TACAATGAACCTGCTAGATTTAGTGGCATACACCCTTAATCTCAGTACGCCAAAGACTGAGACAGGAGGATCACAAGTTTGGGGCTAGCCTGTCGTAAGACCTTTTCTAAAATAATAAAATAAAGTGTGAAACAATAAAAATACAACAGACTTCCTTCTGCCCATCTCCAGAGTCAGTAATTATCAATGCCTTGCCAATCTTTTACACACCAAGTCCCTCCTGGACCACACACCAGCAAACCCCACACTTTCCATCACTACATCTGTCGTTATTTCAAAATGCTTCTCCACAATAAATGAAGTGTTTCCTTACCAGTAAATTTGTATTTCTCATTAAGGACTCAGATCGGGGCTGGGGAGGTAGCTCGGTCAGTAGAATGTGGACAAAGCCCTTGGTCCTGTTCCCTAGAACCACATAAGCCTGGAGTGGTGGAGGTAAGCACCTGCAACCCCAGCACTCAGGAGGTGGACACAATTGAATCATCAGTTCAAGGTCACCCTTGACTAAGAGTGAGTCTGAGGGTAGCCAGAGAAGCTGTCAAAAATCAACAACAAAACCCCCAAAGCCCTCCCGCCAGACCGTCATTGTCCTAGATTGAGCAAGACACATCTCATATGTGTCTATGACTGCCTGACTCCGATACACTGTTTCTCAAACATTGACAGGGTTGATATTTTGAGATAGGTAATTCTTTGGTGTCTGCTACAGTGTAAATGTGTCCTTCCAAAGTTCATGGGTACAAACTTGGCTGTAGTTGTTTGAAACATGGCCTCGTGCAGTCTAGGCTGGGTTTAAACTCACCATATGGCTGAGGCTGGCCTTGAACACCTGATCACTCCGCCTGGTGTATCACCAACACCTGGTTTATGTAGTGGAGATATCATACCCATATCTTAATGGTGTTTAGAGGTGCAGCAGCCTTTGGAAATAATCACTGCGAGGTGGGGTTCTGAGGGTGTGTTCCCCTGTGACACTCTTGGTTGCTTTCTGAGAAGAGAAAGTAAAAACTCAGCTTCCAGGTCTGTTCTGTTTTGCCATTTGATGCTCCCTACCATATTATCATGCAGCAAGAAGGCCCTTACCATAGGCTGAGTGGACACCATCACCATGGATTTTGAACTTCCCATTTATTTGAATCTGGAGCCTTTCAATAAACTTGTATTTTTTTTTTAATAAATTATCCAGTCTCAGGAGTTTTGTTACCACAACAGAAGCAAACAAAGTCAGAAGTTTTACTGTGGATTAGCAGCATCTTGGCTTCTAACCGATGTAAGCCACGAAGTACTGCCCTTGTCCTTGTGACATTGCCAAGTGGCCACCACAGACTGAGGTGCTCTGGCTGGCATGCCAAGGGGTACCACCTTCAGTAAGGAGGACTCCTTCAAAGCTGCCCTGACAACTGCACTACATTGCCTCTATCTCTCTCTTTTTCCCCCTTTTCCTCTTTTTTTTTTTTTTTTAAGACAGAGTATCTCTGTGTAACTCTCCTAGCTGTCCTGGAACTTGCTTTGTAGACCAGGCTGGCTTCAAACTCACACAGAGAGATCAGCCTGCCTTTGTCTTCCAAGTGCTGGGATTAAAGGGTTCACCACTATGCCCAGTTCTGAGTGTATAATTTTTGTTGTTGGTTTTCAAGACAGGGTTTATCTGTGTAGCCTTTGCTGTCCTGAAACTCTCTCTATAGACCAGGCTGGCCTCGACGGCTCTAGTTTACTGTAGCCAGTGGTTAATTCTTGCTGGGAACTCCATAGGAAACTTCTGGAAAGCTAAGTTTTGGCAGATCTTTACAGAACTCTGCAGAAAGCTGAGGCCCTGTGGCTCAGGCTTCCTGCAATGTGTTAGTTATTTCTACAGAGCCCAGCCTTCATCTCCTTGAACAAGCAAGTCACTGAGACTCATTTCCCGTGGCGGCTCATTTTGTTATCGTTCTGATGCAGGTGAGAAGCTTGCTTATTCATGCATTGTGCCAACATGTACAAAATGAGCCCAACTTCACTTCTGCATGACACCTTAATGGATATGTGAAAACCACATTTCAACCAGTCATACAATCATTTACCAAACCTATTTGTGAAAAAGAAGAAAGCAACCTCTGATATGGAACTGCCCTAGCCCTATCCGCTTACCTACTGTGATGGTTAATAGTCACTGTCAACTTGAATGGACTTGGAGTCACCTAGGAGACACCCCTCGGGACATTCCTGAAAAGTTTAACTGAGGTGGGAAGACTTGCCTTGAAGACTCCCATTTCGTGGACTGGAATCCTAGACTGAATAAAAAAAGAAAAAAAAGAAAAGAAAAAAGAAAGGAAGAAGGAAGGAAGGAAAAGGTGTGGTGGCACATTCCTGTAATCTCAGCACTTGAGAGGTGGAGGCAGGAAGTTTAGTGGTCCAAGGCTAACCTTGGCTACATAGTGAGTTTAAGGGCAGCCAGGGCTACAGGAGACCCTGTCTCCAAGAGTCTATGGCTTGTCACTACAAAGGAAAAAAAAAGACTAAAAATGAGAAAACTGTTGGAAAGCTGTCTGGCATCCCCTCTGCTTGGCCCCCACAGATGTTGGTGCTCTGGCTGGCATGATCCACCATGATGGATAGCATTCCTCCCAACTACGAGTCAGAATAAAATCCTTGTTCTCTTAAGCAGCTTGTCAGGGATTTAGTCACAGTGTTGAAAAAGTAAGGACTCCATCTCCATTCTAGAAGAAACTGGCCTTGTGTTCAGAGAGACCACGGTATTTTCCTGATGAAAACGCTTTCATAGAACATCTACACCAGACAAAGACTGCACCACGGTCTTCAAAAAGTGATACAAAAACAAAATAAAAAGGTCTTGAGAGATGGCTCAGCTGTAAGAGCACTTGTTGCTCTTGCAGAGGACCCAGGTTCAATTCCCGGTACCAGGCATGCACGTGGTATACTGATGTACATGCAGGCAAAACACATGCATAAATTATTTACTTTATGCATATGGGTGTTTCACCTGAATATATGTGTCCTACATTAGTACGGTGGCCCTGCAGGCCAGAAGAAGGCATCAGACCCCTGGGAACTGAAGGGATCCTCTGCAAGAGCAGCAAACACTCTTAATTGCTGAGCCATCCCTCTAGTGCATAAATAAATACTTTAAGATGATAATTTCATTAGGTCTTATCCAAGTAAAGACACATGCAAGCTGGGGCAGTATGGAAATAACAAAGCCCCACTTCCTAGAATGCCCCATAGGAATCATCTATACAGAGTATCCAGAACACGGTGAATGCCCTTCATAGTCACTTCTCTATGGCGCCCCCTGCTGTACATGCTCCCTCATTGCAGAAAGCCCAAACCCATTTACTCAACTACAGGTATGTATGTACCTGGCGGTCCTCATCTGAGAGCATGGACCTGCTCAACAATTAATGTGGCCGGGCACTGGGAGTACAGCAGTGGCTAAAACAGCCAAAAGTGTCTCCGACTTTACGTGGAAATGAAGAATGAGCCGTGTAGTGTCGTGTGATATATGAGATCAGTTTATGCCTAGTGGTTTAAGGCGAAGTGAGGCAGGAAATGGGTGTATGGGGTCTGGAATTTTCCAACTGGTTTGCCAGGAAAAGCCTTCCTGAGGTGACATTCCCAAGATCTGAAGGAGGGAAGCATGAACCACATACTTATTTCAGGATGTGCAAGCACAGGGAAGGCTTGGGGCCTAGAACGGTGATCGGAGAGGGAAAGAACAGAAGACCTTTAGAAAGACGAGGCACTCAGGGGGAAGAAGACTGGTCATAGGGGGCCTCCACGGGCTTTGCCTTTTACTCTGAGAGAGACGGGAAGTTGTTGGAAGGCATTTGAACGGGAGAACAGAATGGCCTGACGTTTTAATGAAAAACAAAAGCATTCTGTCTGTTAAGACACAAAGAACCCAGAGGAGGTGGGACAACAGACCCACGGAGACCAATTACAGCTAGCGTGAGAAGAGAGGATCAGGGAGGCTCTGGGTGAGTGACAGATGGGGATGGAGATGGAGACGGAGAGGTCGAAGATGGTCAAGTTTTCAGCTGAGCTAAAACCGGAAGACTGAAGTTATCGTTCGACGAGACAGAGAAGACAGCGGGAAGCCAAAGATTTGAGAAGAAAAACAACAGGACTTCATTTTAAATTTGCAACAGTAAGTGGCAATGTTGGGTAGGCAAATTCAGGGCAGCCTGGCTGCAGCTATAATTTGGGGAGCGTGGGTATGGACAGTTGGATCTACAATTGAGACTGGTTAAGGTCACCAAGCAGGGCATGCAGACAGATGGAGGTCAATGGCTGAGTCCAGGCTCCCCCAAATGCTCAGAGGTTGGGGAAGTGAGAAGAGATAAACTGCAAATATCCAAAATAATAACCACCAGCGTCAGGGGAAACAGCAGTGTGGAAATTTAGAATCTGAAGGATGCTTTTGAAGGCAGCAACAGTCAGCTGTTGACTTTTGTTGGCAGATGATAAGATGAGGTCTGAGACTCCGCTATCAGAGTTAGCAGTGCCTTGTCTAGACCTTTTCAGGAGAAACACTTGATTTCCCAGCATTATTTTTAATTTTTTTGTGTATGTGTATGTGTGTGTGTCTGTGCACATGCATCTGGGTGCCTTGGAGGCTAGAAGAGGGTACTAGATGCCCTGGGATGGAGTAACAGGCAGTTGTGAGCTGCCCAATGGAGGTATTGGGAATCAAACTTGGGTTCTCTGCAAGAAGAGCAAATGTTTTTGACCACCTAACCACTGGAGACAGTCATCTCTCCAGCCCCTTTTTAACAATTTTTAAAAATAAAGTATCACTATCTAGCATGTTGTATAATTTACCCATTTATCTTTTCTCTTGCTACCTATTATTACACTAAGTAAAAAGCTTCACGAGGACAGGAATTTGGGTCTATTTTGCTAATTAGCATAACAGTAAGTCCAATGAGATGATTCATGCTTATAATCCTAGCACTTGGAAGGCTGAAGCAGGATGGTTGCTGCAGGTTTGAGGCCAGCCTGGCCTCCATAGTTCAAGGCTAGCCTGGGTAACATATTGGAACAACTTCCCAACCAGGGAAGAGGGTGTTCTTGCTTATTGGTGACACTGTCATCATTTAACTGTTATCAGATTCTGAATTGGCACAAACAACATTCTTCACAGTTTAAAAACCCCGTGGGAAGCTGGGTTATTGGCACGCTTTTCAGAACTGTTATTAAAATGTTTTTAGAAAACAAAACAAAACACCACCAACATACAAGGTTTCTGGTCACAGTAGGAGCTCAGGAAGGATTCGTTTTTGCAAATCCGTTGCGATGGTAGTTCGTTCTTTTGACAGTGTTCCCAAATGATCTAATATGGTCATGCTATGTTCTTAGCTAAGTCCTGGAATACTAGGCTGACTCCTCTCTGTTCAAAGCTTGGCATTTTATGGTGCAACCCAGCAAGTCCAGCTTGTTTGATAGGTGCACCTCATACCCACATCATGCCTCATTGCTCAGAACTACACACTTTCCTGGGAACTGAAGGGACAATGAAATCTATGATCAGCTGGACCCTCACAGCTCAGCATGTGCGCTCATCTCCAATGGGGGCATCCCACCCCTCAAAAATAAATAAAATAGAAGGCAATCAGCTCTCAAGCAGGAAGTCTCTCTTAAGATAAGGATGCCCAATCTAAGCCGGGCGGTGATGGCGCACGCCTTTAATCCCAGCACTCGGGAGGCAGAGGCAGGCGGATCTCTGTGAGTTCGAGGCCAGCCTGGGCTACCAAGTGAGTTCCAGGAAAGGCGCAAAGCTACACAGAGAAACCCTGTCTCGAAAAACCAAAAAAAAAAAAAAAAAAAAAAGATAAGGATGCCCAATCTAAATTCCCCATGTTTCAGCCCGGGAGATGGGTAGGCAGGAATTTGTGTCCCGTCTGTGGCATTAATAAATTCTGGGAGTTTCATGAAAGCGATTGAACTCATAGGAAACTTCATTCATGTGCAATACAGAACCAGTAAGGTCAATATTGTTGGGATGTTTGGAGAACCGGGGTAATTATGTAGAGGACTGTAGTAGATTTTAATAAATTATATGTGTATACGTACATATAAGTACACATCTGTTCTTTTTGACTTCATGATCCTATCCAATATCCAAATTGCCTCTTTTGTTTGTTTTTGTTAAGAAAAAATGATGGTCAGTGAGATGGCTCGGCAGGTAAGGTGTTACCGCCAAGTGTGACAACCTGAATATCTGGGACCCACATGGTGTAAGGAGAGAGCAGACTCCTGCAAGTTAGCTTCTGTTCCTGCCACTAAAAATAATGATAATAATAATAATTCATGTTCTTTATTCCCACTTCAGTTTTAAATTTCTTTTACATTTATTTATGTATATGTTTGTGGCACTTTACTAACTAAACTATTTCCCCAGCTCCATCTGGCTTTTAAAAAAATTACTCTTTGATAATTTCATACATGTATATATTTTCATTGTTTCGTCCTCCCCTTACACTCTCATCCCCTTCCACCGAACCGCACTTGCCCCCAACAAGTCCCTTCTCCTAGTTTTATCTGTGTGTGTGTCACATTGAGTGTAATTAGGGGTGCTCCCATGAGCATGAGTTACCACTGAAGAACATGACTCCCCTTCCCCCAGAAGCCAAGAACTACCGATAACTCTTGGTAGTTATTGCGTGAGTGGGTGTGGCCTTGCTTGAGGAAGTACGTCACTGGGGGTGGGCTTTGAGGTTTCCAAAGGCTCTTGCCATCCCCAGCGTGCTCTCCTGTTTGTGGTTTGATTTCTCAGCTGCTGCCCCAGCTACATGCCTGCCGCTGCTACCATAATCACTGACTCTTAACCTCTGGAACTGTAGACGCAAAATAAACTTTCTTCTATAACTTGTTATCTTAGCTACTGTTCAGTTGCTATGAAGAGACACCATGACCAAAGCAATTCTTTTTTTTTTTTTAATTCAAGAAACTGCAAATAGGAAACCAGAGTGGGAGCCCCAGGCCGGGACAAATACTGGCTACCCCTCCCCCACAGAACAAGGGGAGAAGGTGGTCCTGCACCCTTTCCCCATCAAAGTGGGCCCCCTTCTCACTGCTGCAGCATTAAGGGGCAGCAGGGCCCCATTTTCCCTGGTGTGGGGTGGTTGGTAAACAGCCTGCTGCGCCCCAGCCCCCCTTTCCTCTAGCGTGTCTTGGGGAGAATGCAGGCGGAACCGGAGGATGAACTTTTGGCGCTGGTAGCAGCAATGATGGTTGTCTAAAAATGAACATTGAACAAAAAATACAACACAACTGTCCAGAGGCAGTTTGTGAACAGAGGACAAGATGGAACCAGAACCTTGGGGAGTAAAAGGGGGACGCAAGGCTGACTCCTTAGTGCCCCACTGGAGGAAGGGAAGCAGCCTAGAGTGGGAGTGGTGAGTTAGCACCCCATCTGCCTTAGGTGGATGCTGGAGACTAGGACCCCACCCTGGAGATGGGTGGGGACTCCCATCTGTCTCTGTATTGGATCCCAGGTGAGAACAAGGTGGGTGGGGCCATCATGTCCTACTTTCTGCAGTTCAAGGGGCTTTAGCCAACCTAGTGCAGGATCTAGGTAAGGTGGGGCAGAAGTGACTGAGAAACCCACCTGGTGACAGTTTGGTGGGGGAGTGGCATGCTGGGACCTAAGCATCCCTGCACGGACCTCACCTGCTGCTACCAGGTCAGTCAATGGGACGTGTCAGATTTGAGATGGGGCTAGGGCCCTTGAAGGCCGGGGAATGCTCCCGGGACCCTCTTACAAGGAAGCCAGGAACAGCAGAGCAGAAGGGACCTGCCAGAGAAAGAGCCCAGAGAGCAATGTCTCTAAGGGAGGTGCGCAGCAGGACAGGCTGCAGGTAAATATGAAGTTAGCCTTGTCGGGAGAGGGCAGGTGTGTTGGGGAGGAGGGCACAAGGACTGAGCCAAATCCTGCTCCCATGGGTGCTGCTGAGGCTGCAGCTGATGCGGTAGTGAGCAGTGGGGGTGGGAAGGGACCTGGAAGCGGGGCTTCCAGTCCCAGGGGAAAGCTGCTCCTTTGATGGCCAAGGAGCAGGCGGCACTGCACGTGGTCACTGCTCCTCCTCTGAGGACTCCTGGGAAATGCCCTCCTCTTCCTCCTTCTCGCGTGTCTTGGCAGCACCCTTATTTTTGCTTCTTTTTGGTGGGGCCCCGAAGTATCTTCGGTGTTAACACTTAACTGGGCTCCTGACTCCTTACAAGCGCGGTCCCAGTACTCATCAGAGGCTGCTTGATTGGCCTCCCCCGGCCTCACTTCTCAGTCCCGTCCTTCTGCGTGGAGGCCAGAGGACTTTGAGCTGGACTCATCTTCCTTCTCTACGGGCCAGTAAGGGGGACTGACTGTGATGGCCTTCTTGGAACCGCACCAACACCAGATATAGCCCAGACTCAGAGTCCCATTAGAGCCTAAAGCAACTCTTAAAAGAGAAAAAGCAACCGGGCGATGGTGGCACACGCCTTTAATCCCAGCACTTGGGAGGCAGAGGTAGGTGGATCTCTGAGTTTGAGGCCCCGCCTGGTCTACAAAATGAGGTCCAGGACAGCCAGGATTTAATTGAGGGCTTGCAGTTTTAGAGGGTTAGTCCATGATCATCATGGTGGGAAGCAGATAGGAATGGAGCAGTAGCCAGTAGCTGAGAACTTTATATCCTGATCCATAGGCAGCAGGAGAGAAGGGGTGGAGAGAGGGGGAGGGAGGGAGAGAGGACTAGACCCTGCTTTTGAAACCTCAAAGTCCACTCCCAACAAAACACCTACTCCACAAGGGCCACACCTACTCCAACAAGGTCATACTTTCTAATACTTTGCAAACAGTTCAACTCCCTGGTGACCAAGCATTCAAATATATGAGCCTGTGGAGGTTATCCTCATTCAAATCACAACAGGTATCTTGGTTATGGTGTTTTATTGCAGCAATAGAAAAGTAACTATCTGGGCTGGAGAGATGGCTCAGTGGTTAAGAGCACTGACGGCTCTTCCAGAGGACCCAGGTTCAATTCCCAAATAAAAGAAAAAAAAAAGAAAGAAAAAAAGAAAAGTAACTGTCTTTCACAGGTAGCCACAGCTGTGAGTTCATGAACAGCCCTTCCATGTTCAGAAGAAGGTATTTCATAGCATCCTCCTCATCCTTCGACTCAATTCGTTCTGCCCTTCTTAATGACCTTCCTCAGCCTTGCAGGGGGTGTTATAGATGTCTCACTTGGGACCGAACACTCGACAGTCACTTATTCTCCACACTCTGGCCAATTGTGAGCCTCTGCATTAGCCACCATTCACTGCAAAGAGAAGAAGCTTCTCGGACCAAAGGATCAGAGCAGGACTAACCTATGGGCATAAACATTAAGAAGACCATTTAAGCAAAACAGCAGTGGGTCCCTCCTTGGATCTTCTGTTTACAGTATCAGGCATGAACTCCATCCTGTGCATCAGGCCTCAAACACAGAAATCAGTTGGTTACCCCATAACAACCATGCCACTATTGAACCAGTGGACACATCTTACCTGGCAATTTAGTATCATAGCTTGCACAGCTCACAGATGAGTAAGACCATTGAGCATTTTTCTCCCCAGCAGACTGGGTAGCACCTTTAGTCAATATGAAAGCCAGGCACCTGGCTCATGTTTAAATTGCATTTTTCCCCCCTTAAAATCACATTTCTTCTTATAAGAAAGGCTGAAATCCTGTGATGCAAAACATTCTGTACAATGAAAACTTATCTTTCCTCATGAGCTCCCAGATCATGCCTAAGTCTCTTCCTTCTCTCTATAGAGAATACCTTTGCATTCATGCAAATATTTATGTCTACAGCAGCATTTGAAATTCTCTTCATACACTCTTGCATGTTAAATGAAACTAGTTCTATTGTGTGTGTGTGCTAGGCAAGCACTCTACCACAGAGCTGGATCCTCAGCTCCAAATCAATTCTTCTTTTTAGTAGTTAAATTTATTTATGTTTTACTTCTCATTTTTAAAATTTTATTCAATAATTTTAAAAGTAAAATTTCAGATTCACTTTCACCCCCCCCCCCACACAACTCCTTTCCCGATCCACTATTCCCTCCCAATTTCATGTGACATCCCCCCCCCCCCCCCCCGCCCCTCCGAAAGCCACTGA